TTTTTCATTATTCAAGTTATTTAAACTCTGCGTTATTCAATTTTTCATTATTAAATTTGAACATCAGGAGCATAAGTGAAAATTTTGAATCCTTAAAAATAGTTTTAAAAAACTTAAACTACAATTTTAGCGTAATCTGTTTAACAGAAACTTGGTGTCGAAATGGTGATGAGTTAAATTCTAATTTTTTTTTACCAGGTTATAACTCAATACACCCAGGAAAAACAGCTTTAGCGAGGCGTATGTATTTTTATTCTAAATTTTTTTACTTTTAGAAAATCACTAAACCTCAGTGTTAATGACGCTGATTTTGAGTCATTAACAATTAAAATTATTAATAAAAAAACTAAAATCTTTTTTAATAACTTTTCTTTACAGACCCCCTAATTGTAATTTTGAAGCATTTGAAAAATAATTAAAAAATATATAGCCAAAAGTCATTAAAAAGCACATTTACTTAGCTAGTAATTTTAACATGGATCAAAAAATAAAACACGATTCCTACGTTAAACGGTTTGTAAATGCTCTACTTTAGATCAGTCTAATACCAGTAATTGACAATCCAACACGCGAAACACGCAACACTTCTTCAGTTATTGATAACATCATCACTATTAGTGGCTAATACTAATAAATAATATTTTTATATAATACTTATAGTTTTATGACTTGTCAAATCAAAAGTGGCATAATAAAAACTGATATTAGCAATCATTTACCAAAATTTTTTATATATTACTATTTAGTTCCAGAATCTGAATTCCTTTGTAAGAAAAATATACTTCCAATCTATTATAAAATTTCGGGATCTATTAACAGAAATTATTTGGGATCTTTTAACTAAGTGCAATAATGCTAATGATGCAACTTTTTTTTACGGTTGTTTTCTATACAATATGAAATATCCTTTCCAAATACTAAAAAAACTATCAACTTTAAAAACCTTAATAACCCATGGATGACATATAGTCTTAGAAAATTATCCAGAAAAAAAAAAGGTTTTATGAAAGATTCTTAAAAAATAAAACTTAGAACAATGAAATTAAATGCGAAAAGTATAAAAACTGTTTTGAAAGATTAAAAAAGTAAATAAAAAATTATTATTTTAACTTGTTGAAACATTCAAATACGAAAATGACATTGAAAGTAATTTAAGAAGTTAAAGAAAAAAAATAATTAGGGTAGAACGGGGCTTATCGGGACAAAGAGGCATAACTGTATCTCAGCTAAAAATTTTTTTTTTTTATAAAACATTTTGAACTATTGTACTTCATTATTGTAAAAAAAATAGTTTTAGAAATTCCAAAATACATTATAAATACCAAAACGCATCAGAAAGTTTGCGAAAAACAAAATTTGCGTATTTTCTTAAGCGATACAAGGACAAAAGGTTTATCTTTAACTATTGCTAATATGCTTCATTTTTAAAAAGTTTATATTTTTAAAACAGCATTTTTTAATCTCTGTTTGAATCTGGTTTCAAAAAAATATCTGGAATGAAACTCTTTGAGCAGTTTTAATTCAGTAAAATAACTGGGGACATATCAGGACAATAAGTTTTTCATATAATTGACTATATATTACTAATATTTCGTGGTGCTGTTTACAGTTTAATAATTTTATTTTTAATCTAAAATATTATTTTAAGAAAAGCAATATTTGTTATAAATTAAAAAAAAAAATTGTTTTTATAACTTAACTTTGATTATTAGCCAGCAAGCACAATCAACGTAGAAACAACGTTGAAAAACCGTTGAAATTTATGGTTTAAAAACGGTTGATTTTTGGTTAAAATGGCAAAATCAACGTTGATTTTCCCATTTTAACCAAAAAAACGATAATCAACCCAAATAAAGGATGAAAAAACGTTAGATCAACCTTGAAAACAAACCAAAAATCAACGTTAGATTATCGTTGATTTAACGTTTATTCAACCAACTTATATACGAGTTTATAAATCTTAAAAATACAGCTTTTTGCGCCGTGACTCTTTTAATCCGAAAAAACATTTTTTGTAAAATATTGTGTTGTAATGAGTAAGAAAAGGAACAATAATTCTTCATGAACTTATAATAGCTGTCATAGTACAATATCTTATGCTATTGTACTGCACATCTTGTTCTCAATTTTTACAGCTTTCATTTATTATTATTGTTAGTATAATCGTTATTGTTGCTATTATATTCTTATTATTATTATTGTTCTACTATTATTATTATTGTTCTACTATTATTATTATTATTATTATTTTTATTTGACGTTAGAACTCATTCCATTGTTTTTTTTAATATGTAACGGTTTTTTAATTGTATTTTTGAACGGTTTTTTCTTGATTTAAGTATAAGGCTGATGAGTGCCAAAAACGCCATGAAACTTTAAGTACTTATTTTAGTGCCTGGTTTCGGAAATACTGATTTTATGACTTTCCAAAACCTTGCGGGATAGTTTATATTTTCCTGTATAGTATTGTTGCAATGTTTTTGTTTTGCATCTTTTACAAAATTGGTACAATAGTTTCGTAATCTTTTGTATTCACCCAATAGTAATCTGTTTTTTTTCTATCTTGCTTTTTTTTAACATTTTATTTTGTTGGTTCATACTTGATTTTATGTTGATAGTAAGCTAAGGATAGATTCTTCTAATCTTTTTTGCGATAAACGGAGCATGATTGTTAAACGTGGTTCTTAAAGCTATTTTTATTTGCCCGGTATTAGGGGCAGTATTTATACGTGTAGTGCTCAATAAACTATTCAAGTTATAACTTGCTAACTCATTACACATTAAATTTTTATCATACTTAGAACAGTTTTGACATCGTATGGATTTTGATTGATGCTTCAAAAAGTTTTTCTTATGGACACACCCAACCATATCATGATCAGAAAGTGCAGTGGGGATAACGTTGCAATCTTTTATGAAAGGTGGCTTGTTACATGCAATTATGTCCATTAAAATTTATGATTCTTTTGCAATTCGAGTTAGTTTAGTCATAATTTGCTTAAATTCATTTAAAGATAATATTTTTTTAAATCCTTTAAAGTTATTGTTCTTTACAAAGTAGTTTACATTTACGTCACCTAGTAGTATAGCTTCCTTTAAGTCTTTGTAACTTGAATTAACTTATTATTGAACTGTTTATTTAAAAGTGGTGAGAAATATAATGATATTTCAGGGGGTCTAGAAATTGAACAAGCAAGTTCGTTTTTTGCATTTTCAAAAATGAATTCTATTCAAACTCACTTAATATTCTTTGATTCTTAATCATCTCGTCTAACCCAATTGAAGTTTTCAGAAACATACATTGCTACACCACCGCCTTTCACTTTACCTCTAGGTTTACTTATAAATGTGTATCGTGGAATGTCATACAATGCCTTGAAATTGTAATCAATATAAAGATAATATTTTTTATCATTATTTCTACCAAACATCAAAGAATCAAAAATATGTTTAATGAAGTTATTAAAACATTTGAAGAAAGAAGATTTTTCTTCAAAAATTTTTCTTCTAATGTACTATTCAAACTTGTAGGTTCGCTATAACCGCATCAAAAGTTGATCACCTAAATTTAACTTAAGTTTTTGAACAATATTAAAAGTATAACTAAAAAAAATTTATAAAATAAATGATTAGTTTAAATATCTAGCAACAATTGATATAGTAGTTTGTTGTTTGAATAAATAAAAATTTTAAGATCGGTTCTACCCTTCAGCTTTTTGGTCATGATATCACATTGACGTAATTCAATGTTTTTTATTTATTTAAACAAAGCGTTGTGCATGTTTTCATTGTTTAAAACATTCAAATTATTTTTTAGCTCAAATTACATTGCATTATGCAACTCAAAATGATTTTTGTTTTGGTACTCTATTATCTTTTTTCGTTTAAATAATGCAGATAATAGTTTTCGCAAATAGTATTTTATTTGAACTACCACTTTTTAGAATTAAGTTTATAATATCATTAAATGTTTTAGTATCATTAAATGTTTTAAAGTCGTGACACCAAAATAAAACAAGTCATCACAATTTAAAATCTATTTCTAAGTTTTAAAAAAAGTTCAAATAAATATTTTACAAATTTTTTTAGTTTATAAAAAAATTTATTAAGTTGACGTTTTTACTTAATATATGGTAAAGCGGGGAATATAGGGACTCTTAAGAAACAAATGCTAGTTGTGGATAAACTAATTATAGTTAACACTGTTTTTTATACAATTATATGAGGCTTCAGGCAAAACTGTCTTGTTATGCCCGCTATCCCAATATGCCCCGCTGTCAGGATATGCTCCACTCGACCCTAGTAAATTTTGTAACTTAAACCTTTGCCTGGTTTTTTTCTTTGAAACGGCTGTTCGTTCAATAATTGAATTTATTTTGATATACGTTGTTGCGGCTATCAATTTTCGGCAACAATCGTTGCCATATGATAGGTAGGAAAGAATAGTTGTATATGTACAACTATTCTGCCCTACCAATCAAGAACACCTTGAATGGAAAAATTAAATTTTTTAAATTAGGTGTTAAGTGATTCATTGTAAAATTTAACACCTTTAAAAAAATCAAGGAAGCCTAATTAAAAAGATATTTGATTTAAACGAATGAAGTCAAAACGAATATAGTAATATATTAGCACATTAGGCGAGTATTAAACAGTTTTTGGCAAATATCTCAAATCTATTTCTTTCACTTAGCGTGTTCTTGATTGGCAGAATAGTATTTTAAGTACAAAATGTTCTACTTGTTATGCTGACCGAATTACGCATCTAGATGTGCTTTCACTTTAAAACATAAATATTGCACAACACAGCTATTGGCAATCAACTGTCAATAAGTTAATGTCAATAAGTTTAATATATATGTGTGTTCAACAAATCATCTTCATTGTTAAAAAATTTATTATTGTTTGAAACTTAATAAATATATAATTTTGAGCTTAAAGAAAGTTAAATCTTAAGCATGAGATTACAAACTGAATATAAGTAAAACAAATGTTAAGTAGTTGTTACATAACTTCAACAAATAACATTTTCAATGTTTTTTTTGTCTTATAGAAAGGTTTTATAGAAAGTTTTACTTTAAATAAAAGAAAGTTAGGCGGGAAAAGTACGCTTTATCTTAAAACTTTTATAAGATGTCATTTGATAAAAATAATTTTGAATATAAAAGTAATGAAAAAAAAAAAGATACCAATTTGATACCAATATTACCAGATGACATTGAAGAAGAACCTCCAGACCATTATTTTCTTATATACATAATATTCTTCCTTCAAGGTATTGGACTTCTTTTACCCTGGAACTTTTTTATTACAGCTAATGAATACTTTAGTTTTAAATTTAGTGGCAATCATTTCATTCAGCAAAACTTTGAAAAAGCATTTTCACTCGGATCAATGCTGCCAGCGTTAATTAGTTTGACTGTAAATATATTTCTTACAAGGAAGCTTTCACGAACTTGTCGAATATCTTCATGTTTGTCAGTGATGTTTACTATGTTTTTCATAACAACTATTTTCGTCAAAATTGATACTACCAAATGGACCCAGAGTTTTTTTGGAGTCACCATTTTTTGTATTGTATTTATTCATTTAGCATCAGGAATTTATGAGGGGACCTTGTTTGGACTTGCAGGACTAACTGGCTCAAAGTATACTCAGGCTTTAATGGCTGGTCAAGGCGTTGCTGGAATTTTTGCTGCAACAACAGATCTTATATTTAAATTGGCCTACCCTAACCCTGTTGATAAAAGTTTAAGTGCATTTGGCTACTTTGTTACTGCGTCTGTTGTCATTTTATTTACAGCAATCACGTATCCTGTTTTATTCAAGCTTCCGAAAATAAAGTTTCTTTTAAATAAATCAGATTTAAAGAGAAAAAATAATGTCAAACAAAGTGAATACAGCGCAAATATACTAAAAAAAAAAATACCATATTATGCTATTTTCAAACAAATTATGCCTTTGGGTTTTTCTGTGAGTGCTGTTTTTTGTGTAACTCTTTCTTTATTCCCTGCTGTTGTCTCTAAAATTGTTTCTACAAATAAATCAAATAGCTCAAGATTTGCAAACGATTTGTTTTCATCGTTGGTTTGTTTCTTTATTTTTAACTGTGGTAATCTTGCTGGTCGTATAGCTTCTGGTTTTTATCAAATTGTGAATGAAAAAGGGCCCTGGCTTCCACTGTTATGCTTTTCTCGAATACTCTTTATCCCATTGTTTTTAATGTGTCACTTTAAAAATGGAAGTATTTTATTGTATGTTTTTAAGTATGACTATTGGCCTGTTATAATAAATTGTTTGTTTGCTTTTTCTCACGGGTATCTGGGGAGTTTATGCATGATGTTTGGACCTAAGTTAGTTTCTGCTAAATATTCCGAAACCGCTGGGACAATAATGTCATGTTTCTTAACAACAGGACTTACTGCAGGTGCACTTTTATCATTTGCCTATAATGTATGAGGTTGGAAAAAAAACAACTAACATTTATTTATAAAACTTAAAGTAAAATTTTGTTTCGTCAAAACATTCTTTATATGATTCAATACAAATTTGTAAACATAAATATCTGTGTTGGTGTGCGTGTGTTTAAGTGTAAATATGTATTAATTTACCTCCTATTTTTGTGTATTATGTTTTCTTAAAGTTTATGCCTATTTGTAAACTGTCTATTTAGATGTAAAAAATGTTGCAAATTATATATATATATATATATATATACATATATATATATATATATATATATATATATATATATATATACATATATATATATATATATATATATATATATATATATATATATATATATATACATATATATATATATATATATATATATATATATATATATATATATATATATATATATATATATATATATATATATATATATGTATGTATGTATGTATGTATGTATGTATGTATGTATATTATATAATAACTTACATTACAAAAAAATAAAAAAAGCATTGGTTTTTAATATCATATAAAACTTTTAAAATCTCTATATATTATTGTAGTAGTAGTAGTAGTAGTAGTAGTAGTAGTAGTAGTAGTAGTAGTAGTAGTAGTAGTAGTAGTAGTAGTAGTAGTAGTAGTAGTAGTAGTAGTAGTAGTAGTAGTAGTAGTGGTGGTAGTAGTAGTAGTAGTAGTAGTAGTAGTAGTAGTAGTAGTAGTAGTAGTAGTAGTAGTAGTAGTAGTAGTAGTAGTAGTAGTAGTAGTAGTAGGAGTAGTAACTAATTTTTCTCACAAGAACATAAAGAGTATAGTTGTGAGAACAACCAGTGAAAACGCTGAGATTCGGGAAAGACTTGTGAAATCAATCGAATGCTCTGATAAGACTGGAAAAGAAATGACTGGGCTAATTTTATATTCTTTAGATAAAGGTAGCATTGATATATCTAAGATGGCCTTTTAGTTGCACTACGCGAGTTCAATGTCTGGACGATTTAAGGGAGTACAAAAGTAAGTAAGAGAAGCAGTTGACTATAATGTGCACTACATATCTTGTCAAGTCCACACCCAGCGAGGATTTTCATTTAAAAGTAACGTTCTAAACGTATTTTAAATGTCTTTTAAACGTCTTCTAAACGTTCTTACGTAAAGAACGTTTAAAAAACGTTTTTAAGACATTTAGAACGTAACCTTTAAAAACAAATGCTCTTAGAGCAGTACAAACACTGCTCTTGAACATGCCCTCAATATTAATACAAAAATTGCCTAATGTTCTCAAACAGTTGCATATTTTCTTCTTATCAAGCAGAAAAAGGTTTAGTCATTTCAAAAAAAACTTTGAAAACATTGACAAAGCAATAAAGCTTGTAAACATGTTAAGGCAATTCAATAACAAGTAATCAAGCTTGTAAACTTGTCAAGCTAACCAGTGTTTAGAGAAGGTTATTGATCTTCTTCAGAGCATCTCTAATAATAAGATTTTTGATTCTAACACGAGAACTAAGGCAATGGGACTTCTAAAAAAAGTAAAAATTTTTTTATTCTTCTTCTTTCATGAAGAATATCATTCAGAAAATAAAAATAACAGAAATCTTAGTAAAGTCCAAACTTCAATGTTATTGGCAGTATTAAATTAATTGAAAGCACTGCCAAGAACCTACAAAATATTAGTAACAACACAGATGCTATGAACAATATGATTGAAAGTTCAGTGAGATTTTCTAGGAAAAAACAAATTGATGCAGAAAATGATTACAGATGATACCATGGATTAACAGCAATCGAGCTGGAATAGCAATGGAGATATAAAAGCATTTTATTGGAGAGAATTTAAAAGAGTCATAGACTCTTTAGTCATGGTTTTAACCAAAAACTCTGTTGTTTTAAAGGAAATACTTACCTCTATCTATCAATAAAATCTTTTTCTTTAAATAATGACAATATGATTCTTATATTTCCGCCTGAATATAAGAATCAAATTCCAGGCGGCTATGTATTGAAAAGCCAGGTGGGAATTTTGAAAGATATCTGTTTAGGAGAAGGTGATGAAGAATTTAAGTCATCCAGAACACCAGCTAAGACGCTGCAAGACATTTTGTACCATGTTGTGAAATTAAAAGACATACTAAAACAAGCTCATAAACTATGTAACCACAATTGCTTATGGTGTAGAATCAAATGAGCGTTCTTTCAGTCAATTTAAGATTGTAAAATCACATCTGAGAATAACAATGAGTGATGAATGATTGGATAGTCTCATACTATTCAAGTGCGAAAAAGAACTTTGTAAAGGAATTAACTCCAAACCTTTTGTTAAAGGATGGTTCAATTGAAAAAACGTCTTAATAAAATCATATATTAGACAACAAATGATGGACTAAAGATAAAATATTGCGATTAGCGTTTCAACCTTTCGTCGTATATCAAATTTGTCAACAAAGTAACAGTTCTAGTAGAGCAACGTTGCACTCTTTCTGAAGTTTCAATATTAATAATATTTTTCATATTACTTTTTTGAATTGAATATTTGTATATATGTAAAGCGATCTATGTTTTATTAATACTAGTTAAGAAATACTGATAACTGACAGTTATTGTATTTGAATGCAGTGTAGTAAAATTATTAGTAGATTTTGTAAATCGGACAAAAATTCTAATTCAGCCCAGGCTACAATTCAGCCCGCTAACCCGGGCTAAATTTTCCCCCTGCCTGGTTATTTTAGTTCTTACAAATTAAAATTTGCAATTATAAGATGTGCGTGTTGAATTTCCTCCCGGAATAAATATCCAAGCCCGTTTTATAAAACTGAGCCAGGATTTTCAGTCCTGGCAAATTTCATTTATTATAAAATTAATAATGGCTGCTTTAAAATTTATTAGCGAAACAAATAAAAAAGAATACACAGAAGTTCGATTTCGTTGGGATAAAGATGACAAAATTTCACACTTAATACAGATTTTGTCAAATTTTAAATCTCAAATAGAATATAATAACAAGGATTTCAATGCTGACAAAGCAAACCAGTATGAAAGCATTAGGAAAGCTTAAGCTAAGATTTACTTTCACCAGCCAAGTTGGTTTGGGTCTGTTAGTCAAAATGAAAACGTATTATCTGAACAATATAAAATTGATATATCTCTAATTAAAAAAGGTTATACCAAAGTTCAAGAAAAAATCAAATAAATTCGTCTAAATTTTTCATTGGCTGTTACATTAGGTCGAAATTAGTAAAAATGGTAAAATGGTACTTGAATTTTATGATCATCTTGTTCAAATATGGGGTGGATCTACTTCTATAGAACCATTATCTTTTGGAGAATCAACTTATGATATTAATAAAGAAAAATTTGATAATAACAAAAGTATAGAAGATGTATCAATTGCTTGAGTTAGCACTGAAGGCAACTTAGTTGATAGTTCAGATGGTGTAAATATATGTTCTTGTTTATCTAGTGTTGAAAACAATAATATAGTTGATATCTCTTTATTATTAGATAACAGATACATCTCAGCAAACATGCCAGCGAAACGTTTCCGCAAAAGATATTGCGGAAACGTTTTAATTTTAACTTTAAAAACGTTTTTAAAGAAATCGATTTTGCAAAGATATGTAACGTTGTTTATGAGAAGTTGATTAAACGTTGTAGCGTAACATTGAAAAAACGTTACTAAAAGGCGTTACAAAAATGTCGCAACTAAACGTTGAAAAAGCGTTACTTAAAAAGCGTTGCATAAGCGTCGCAATTTAACGTTAAAAAAACGTTACTTGAAAGCGCTACTGTAACGTAAGCAGTCGATTTCGCATGGATTTTTAACGTTGGTAGTAAAACATCGGTTAAACGTGACTCAAAGACGTCGAGTAAAAGTTGAAATATAACGTTGAATCAACGCTTAAATGCGCTGGAAAAAATATCGCAAAATATTATTAAATGTAATTAAACTTGGCTATGATATATATTAAATTGGCAAAAAAAACTAAATTTTATGTTGAATTCTGCACTTGTAATATTTCTAAAATCGATTTTTAATACAAACAGTTTTAATACAACGAAAACTTTAAAAATATACAATTTATTCATATAAAATATACAATTTATAGATATAAATAGATAAAAATATAAACATTTTTTTTTATGATTTATGAGTGTGAGTGGATTTACAGGATATCGTATCGATAGGCCAGGATATCATTGAGATACAGAATCTAAATCAAAAAACAAAACTTGTATCATTAGCAGTCTGATAGCAAATGTTTAAAAAAAAGTTTTTGAATAAGAATAATCATTATTAAATTTAAAAAGTAAAAATAAATATATGTATATAAATAATTTGTACATATGTGTATATATATATATATATATATATATATATATATATATATATATATATATATATATATATATATATATATATATATATATATATATATATATATATATATATATATATATATATATATATATATATTCCTAACTAAAGCTCATTTTTACAATATGTAAGGCAAAATCTTAAAATTTTCTTACTTCTACCACAACCATTACCTAAATTACTTTAACCTTTTTTTTTAAAAAAAATCTGTCTAAGATTATGCCTCCTTTTTATGTCTTGTTAAAGTCACACCACACATCTATCTGATCATCTTCCCTTTTGGCAAATACTACACAATATAAATACTCAAGTTTATATACCAATGAAAGGATATTGTATGCCAGCATCTAAACAAATAGCAAACAGGTATGATTATATCCGTAATGTGTGTGCAAAAAGTGCATCTTGGAGACTTATATCGCTTCTAGAATAAAATTTTGGAAGCTTTTATTACTTCTCTTCAGTTTTAAGTTGAGCCACATTCTACTCTATATCTTTAAACATTAATCACTTTTTTCATCTTTTTTATATGAACATCTCTCTTAAAAACAAATTATCCTATTTATTATTAAAATAAGCAAATGTATAAATAAAGTCTTGTCTGATGTAAATCTCGGTTATTCTCAATTTACTAAACCTTGTACTTTTCTTAAATGTTAGTTTCAAGAGACTTTTGATTAGTTTTCAACAGTGTCATTAACTCAAGTAAGTCTAACGTTTATTCTCTAAATCATGGGTCCGATCTTTTTACTTTACCCCAGAGTTAAGCAGAGCTACTTAAAAAGAAATCTTACTATCATTTTCTCTCGAATTTAATGGACATACTCTTCTTGACAGTT